CATAAAGGTAGATTCTCTTTTCTGAAGATTAATGGTGAAGTACTGCTTTTCTTCATCAATACTGGTCATGTTCTTGGAAGGTAATCCAGTAAATGAAGTCTCAATTCAAACACCTTGGGGTTCTAAGCAGTAAGTAGGAAACTGATAGGCAAATCTGGTAATGCAGACAGAGAAGGTCATATAAAAATCCTTCAAGAAGTCAAAGAAATGTAGGTTGCCCAAAGGATTTTAGTTTTCTTTGGCATGTTCACTGAGACTCTAATTTCTCTTCTTAGGATTAAACTGGTAAATAATGAAAGTTTAGTGTTGATTCATGTCATCTTGGACTTTAACGGATCCACATGATTGGTCTGATTCAAGTATCGCCCCCTACCCTGCGCAGTCACCTTCCCCGGGCACATGCAAACTCCCCCTGCCCCTGCACCTCGCTGTTCTCTTCACTCACCCCAGGCTCCAACCAGGAGCCGTTGTTACTGGAGCAGGTCACATCCTGCCATCCTACATACGCCCCCCTCGGTAGGCACTGCCATCTTAATGTGGCCTCCAGAGGAAACAAGATGGCAAACTTGAGGAACATTTTGAGTCCAAGGTGAGAATTCTAAAAAATTAAAGCGCGCCCTTTCCCTTGGGTTGTTCTGCACACTCTCTAAAACAACTCCTTCTTAGTCCCCTGTGAGACTCTTCATTCTATTTTTCACTCCAAACACCCACTTTTCTACCCAGGATATCCAACCACTCTTCCTACCCACTCCCATCCTACTAGCATGGCGCCCCAAATCTGATTCATTCCATCCATATAATACTCAAGAAAGGGGTGGGAGACTTCAGCAGTATAGTTGGTGAGAAGCAGGCCCCTCATTTCCCAAATGTATGAGCTGAGGACAAAGGCCATCTAGTGCCCCAAGCCTCACAAGACTGTTAAGATCCTTTTGTTAAGGGCCAACCTGTAGGTGGACTATTGGAACAAGGGACACACCTACCTCTCCAGGACAAAGACAAGTTGCCACACAGCTTTGTTCAGACAGCCTGAACCCATAAGTGAGCAGAAAATAGTTTCCCAACTGCGTCCCAGCTGCTTTATAATTCGGGAGGTACCTCTGTCTCCTCTAACACAGTGAGTCACATTATTAAATATAGCAGTAAGTGTACTTTTCAAGGGCAGATCTCTTAGAAAAAAAAAATTTTTTTTGGAGATAATCATTCTACCATGTCCTCAATAAATTTCTTTGCCAAATTCCCTTGTTCTCAATTTCCATCTGGGGGAGGGGAAGGAGGTGGTTGATGCTCCAGTTGCTTCTGCTTATTTCATTTTGGAAGAAAGACCTAAATTCATCGTGATACCAACTCCAAGACACTGATGGACTCTTTTGATGGCCTCCCCCAGCCATCTGTTTTCATAACCAAAATCTTCACATGGCAACATCTCATGGAGCAGAAGAGATAAGTCTTCAGCAGTTATTCCTGTGTATGTTTACGGCACTGTGGTGCAAGGCCTCTTAAAGGAATTACCCACATTCGTTCAGTTATTCATCAACAGAACTATTTTAGTGTCGCTGTAGGTAGGGACAGGGTGATTGACATTGGGCACGGAAAAATGAATCAGATATGAGACCTCACCCTTAAGGACCTATGTACAGTAAGTCATTAGCCTCAGTATAGGGAGAATAATGCTGTGATGGAACGAGGCACAAGTTGTCTGAAGAAAGCACGGTTGATTTTGCGGAGGAAATATCAAAAAAGCTGAGCCTGTAAGAAGGAGTACGAGTTATTGTGGCCCAGAAAAGGCAGACGTGTGTTCTGGTAGCAGGATGAACTGAGGAGAATAAAAACTGAGATGGCCCAGCACAGCAAGAGAACTGTCAATGGTTTGCTATGACTAGAACACAAGGTTTAAAGTAAGCAATTTTACTTTAATACATCTGAATGTATGACAGAGATACTAACTTGGTCCAAGGAAAAAAGTCAACAGTAGAATTTTGAATAAAATACTGTATCTGGTTCTGTGAAGTTCAAACATCTTAGCGTAAAATTTGGGGAGCTAACACTCAGAACCCTCAAAATGTTTTCTGAGATACAAGAATTTTTTAAATAAATTTTTTATTTTAGAAGGGTTTTGGACTTACAGAAAAAAAATGCAAGATAGTACAGAGGGTCCCCGTATTCTCCACACCCAGTTGTACCTACTGTTAACATCTTCACAACAGTATAATACATTTGTTACAATTAGTGAACCAATATTGACACATTATTATTAACTAACATCTATGCTTGATTCAGATTTCCTTAGTTTTTACCTAATGTCCTTTTCCTGCAAGAGGACCTTATCCCGCACACCATTTTATATTTATTTGCTCTATTCCCTTAGGATCCTCTTAGCTCTGACAACTTCTCCAACTTTCTTTGTGATGGGTCTCAGTTGTGAAAAATACTTGTTAGTTATATTGAGAATGTCATACAGTTTGGGTCTGTGTGATGGCTGCCTCATGGTTAGAATGAGGTTATGGGATTGGGGACAATATATGGACTTTTATAGCAAATCTCACGGACATAAGGGCAAGGCTGACCTCAAGCAACATGAGAAGTGTCAATCATTTCCCCACTACATTTACACATATTTCCACCCCCACGCCCCCAGCCCCAGCACCCAGTGCCGTCTCTCATCCACTTCTCTAGGCCTGTCAGGTTCTTACCAAAAGAAAGCCGCCCCGTCCCACTGTCTGCATATAGGCTCACTAGCTCACTTTGCAACCCTAGCCCATGACTCCTTCACTCCCCAAAGCTATTTGCAAATGCTATTCTCAGCCTGGAAATGTCTCCCCACTTCCCACACCCCTTTACACATCCCATTTATCCAATACCTCCCATTCAAACTTACAGTCTCAGGCAAATGTCAATTTCCTCAGCAAGATCATCGGCCACCTACGATATACTGTAGAATATGCGATATATTTAGAATAAATTCTAATGTAAGGACTGCATTATTCTATTTATATTTTTGGAACACTGGACCTATCCTCAAAATGCCTGAGCTGACCAAAAACCCATAGCTTCAATGCATGCAGTTTTTCGTTATCGTTACACGTACACACCTTCCTGATCCCAGATTAACAAAGAGTAATTTCTGGAACTGAATCACTTATCAATTGCTTGTTTGTTCACAACTGATATAATCTTGAAAAATGTCAGCCTCCCCACAGAATAGAAGCCCAGTCACTAGACATAAAGGAGCAATTTAGGTAATTTCAAATACATTATGAAAAAATCAAGTACGTAGGTCTCCTTTTATATATTTTTTTATTTGTTATAATTCCTCTTTTCACTCCCATTTGTCCCCTCAGTTCCACCGGAACTGTCCTCAAGTAGGTAAACCGATATCATTTTATCTTTACTCCTCGGTCAGTCCACAGACCTGTTAGGTCCTGCTCATTGTCCTGGCACCAGAGACATAGTTAAACTCAGACACAGGTCCTGCCCTCGTAGAACTTACACCCTAGAGGCAGAGATGGACCAAGAGAAAACACACGAATATACACCACTAAAATTTTAAATTAGAAGGAGTTCTTTAAGCTGGAAGTGATCTTAAATAATGAGAAGTATCCAGCCCTGAAACACTCTAAGTAGAGACAGAGGGAAAAGAACAGCAGGGATCTGAGGCCATAAGGCTGCAGCAACTAGAGCTTGTTTGAGGACAAACTAAAAGCCAGTGTGGCTGGAGCATCCTCAGCAGGGGGAAGAACACCGCTGGATAATGTCGGGAGGCAGTCAGGACCCACATCCTATACGATATGCAGGCAGCGATAAGGACATTGGACCTAATTCAAAGTGAAGTCAGGAGCCACTGCAATTTTTTTAAGCAAAAATGTGAAACCAAGATCTGATTTATCCTTTTAAAATATCAGTCTGGTACAAGGTGGTAAATGCGTTGTAAGAGTAAATGTAGAATCAGAGAGGTAATTAGGAAGCTGGTGCGCTGATCCAAGTAGGAGGTGATGGTCCCCTGAACTAAGATTCTAATAGTGGAAACAAAGAGAAATTGATCAATGCAGGGTATCACTCAAAAGGTCAGCTAAGAGGACCTGTTGATGGGCCAAATGTGAAGGAAGAGAGGAATGCGTAGATGGCATGTTCTGGTCTTGCAGCGGGATTGAAGATGAGAGTGTTGGCTAAGGACAGGAGGAAACTATTTAGAGCCCCGGGAGGAAATGGAGAAGAACTCAAGTGTTCTCAGTGAAGCATGTTAAGCTTGCAATGCTTAATAAAGTGATAGTTTGCAGACAAGAAACTCAAAGACAATTTTTAGGTCCTGTGCCCAAGATCAGACATACTTGGTACATGTTCCAGTATTTGACGTTCAGGCCTTCTTACTCCAAAGTGAATGCACATTTGGAAGCGACCTCAGTAATTGTTATTTATCTTGTACCCACAACGTAAAATTAGCCTACTTATTAGCCAAAAGCAGAGTCCATCATCTCTGTATTATTCTGGAAACTTGCTTAAGCAGCATTACAGACAGTAAAAACAGAAATAATCGAAGTGTTGTTATATGGAGCTCTTTCCCAAATTTGCTGATTGTTAAGGATCCCTTAGCACTCCATATGCTCGGGGTTGACTTGGGCAAGTGAAATTTGGTTGCAAGAATTGGAATATCTTCAGGGAGAAATTCACTAACAAGAATAACTGGCATAAATATAACCTTGATTGGATCCTAGAACAGAAAAATGGCATTAATGGGAAAACTGCTGAAACCCAAAAGGCATCTGTAATTTGGCTAAGAGTCCTGTACAATATTCATGTCTTAGTTCTGGCAAATGCACCATGGTTATGTGAGATCTGGATGAGGGGGAAGAGTGAAGGGCATATGGTTACTCTCTGCTATAGCTTTGCAACTTTTGAGAAAATCTCAAGTTATTTCAAAATAAAAGGCAATATTAAAACAAAAGGATACAGGTGTACCTCATGGAATGTGAGTGGTTGGAATGTCTCACAAGGAACCACAAAAGAATTAGATTGTGCTGATGGTCCAATGCAATATGTTTAACTTCACTAGCAGTCAAAAAACCATACAAATCAACATGAGACACAATGTGATTTCTGTGACATCAGCCAATATATAATGATAACCAATATTAAGTAGATTTTGAGAAAATGATCCCTTTACACACTGTGAAGGATATTCATAGTACCAGGTTCTTTGTATTATAGCTAATAAAAAACTTACCTCAAACTGGGAAAGGAAGGAACTTTTTCGCTTGAGATCTGAAAAGGTCAAAGGTAGGTCAATCTTCAAGTGAGGACTGGCCTTAGGGTATAAAAGTCTAGAATCTTTCTGTCTCGTCTGTCTGCTTTCTGTGGTGTCCAGTTTATCCTAAAGTCGACTCCCCTTTGTTTTAACAGTGGGTTTCAGTCCCAGGCAAGTTCACTCTTGATTTGGTGAGACCGAAAAATGACAATGGAATGTTCATAGAGTGAAAGGGTTTTTACCCAACTTTACTCCCCCGGTGGCAGGTCAAGCACTAGAATCCTGTTCACCCAGAGCGAGTCTGGATGCAGGAAGCCGGTCCCTGCCTCTGGGCCTCTCCGCCGCCGCAGCCGTCTCTGTCCTCAGTGCTGCCACCACTCCAGGCTCTGCTTTCCTGCAGCTGCGCAGCCCGGAGCCCTGGGCGGGGCTCTTTATACGGTCAGTATAATACATTGCCTGCACGTGTTCAGTGAGTGAGCCCACCGGGGTCAGGTGGGAATCCTGGCCACAGGAACCTCCATTTTCTCTACACCATGTGCCACGAGAGTGCCGGCAGTCCCCATAGCTGTTCTTCCTCTTCCTCCTCAAGGAGCCAGAGAATGATTTTCCCAGCGGTGCTGAAAAGCAAATATTTCTCACCTCAGTGGCCTAAGTTATGGATCCATTCTTAGTTCTTCACTCTGACCTGGAGGGCCAATCCCTCCAACACCCTCCAGCTGAGAACACTGGAGGAAGGAAGGTCCACCAAAGGAAAAGGAGAATGCTGTTTCCATGAAGGAGGGGTAGTAATTGATTCAACTTTAATGGAAGTCTTTTTAAAGTAAGGAATTTCAGAGAATTCCAGCTTTTAAATTTATTTCAAGTAATCAGAGTTGTACAAAAAGGGAATCATGAAGAAGAGTGTTCTGGTAATTTTATGCATAGAAATTTGAAAAAAATCTAAATTCCCAACAACAGTGTGTTCACTGCCTAAGTTAAAATGCACGCTCAATAGACCATCCTATAGCTGTTCTATAGGATATTTTCAAAGAAATAAAAGTCAAACTGTACTAGCAAGTTCAAAAATTAATTATTGATGGCCTATTATGTGCCAGGGACTGGCATCAACAAACAAAACAAAGATGTCTGATCTCCTGGAATTAAAAGGAAAAAAATACTAAAAAAAGAATATGAATCAATTTTTTTAAACAACAACATTCTCAGATAGATGCACACAAAAATATCTTTGAAGGACCAACATTTTCATATGTCCAGACATGCAAATATCTGCAAAGTGGTGTATCAGTATATTAATAGTATGGTGGTTTAAATGGGATTTTTTAAATTTTTTAGTTGGGATATAGGTGAAAGACAATATTATATTAGTTTCAGGTGTACAACATAGTGATTCAACAATTATAATTTCAGTAAATGATGAATGCATACTTCCCAAGATAGAATTTCTAGTTTTAGATTTGTGAATAATCAAGATGGGACACAAGAAATGGATGTTACCTACTTTAATTATCTAAGATATGATTGCAGAAAGAATTACTGTTTCACATTTCTGAATTCCTACAACATGATTTCTGTCATGTGTTAAAAATAACTCTAACAATGTCTCAGACATTCTGTATCAACCTTGGTGTGCGAATTCTAAAGCCATTCCCAGAGTACAGATATTTTTAAAGCAATTGCCCATGACAAAGTATCTGACTTCTGAGTATAAGAAAAAATAAAATGTCAAAATAGAAAACTTCTATTTTGACTATTCACTACCATATCATCAGTGGTAACAACCTCCTTGGGATGTTGGGATGTACGGGCTAAAAGGTAAGTGTTTTAAAGAAGCTTGTTGTATAGAATTAATTCCTATACACAATTCCTATGATGGAGTAAACCGAATGCTATTGACTCTGACCTTTTGGGGTTGAACAATTGGTCAAACAAGACTATAAAGTTCGCTGGAATTTGTCGAATGAATGATGAATGAATTCAAATTGATTCTCAGGAGTGTCGTCATTAAGTTACCATTCACTCATATATTGAACAAAAATCCCTGAAATCCCTGTATAACCAGGGGAGTTTAAAGAGGTTCATGCACATGAGGAATTCCCCAAACATGCTGACATTCTAGTCTCAAGAATTAATGACTCCCTCCTGATTCCCAGAAAAGTTTTTGCAAAACTGACCTAAAATTTATCCTGGAAAGGAGCAAGAACAATTTGAGCATTAGATCTTTGATGTCTGTCCTTAACTATTTTTTGAATGCTATTTGAAGAACCTGGATTCATAAGAAATAAATAAGAAGTAGGCATGTCAATTATTTTCATGAACCAGACCCCCAGTGAATGCATAACATACATACCCTGCAGTATCCCACAAGTATCAGACCTCTCATTTCTAAATGTCTTTGTAGATCTTGGGTAATAACAGAGTTTTGCTATACAGCATATTCATAATCTCTGGGAATGGCTTTAGAATTCACACACCAAGGTTGATACAGAATGTCTGGGACAGTGCTGGAGTTATTTTGGGAACCTAGCTAAGAGGATTTGCAATTGGGGATCCCTTTAGTCATGTTTTAGTGGGATATATTCACATAATGTGTAGTCACTCTCATGTATAATTAAATACTTATTAACCTCAGTGTAGAAACAGTGTCCAGGAACTGCTCCAAGTTGTCCAGCATCAAAGCACAAGGACGTAAGACATAAAAGTAATGATACAAAAATGTCATCTGACCCTAGAAATGCACAAAAGAGAAACAGTGATCTGATAAATGGATTTCAGATGCATTCATTCATAATCTAGTCTAATAAAAGAGCCACATGGTTTTAAATTAATCCTGAAAAAAATCTTCAAAATATATAGTCTTAATGATACAAACCCAAGAGAACAAGAAACAGGAAAGCTTACATTCTGTTGCCAGTATGAATTTATAGTCAACCACATTAAAAGGTCAAATAATGATGATTAATGGCATGTGCCAAGAAGCTAGCATAAATTATTTTCACTGCCCAAGAGGATATTGAAATATGGGTTTACATCCTTGTCTGCAGGGTATGTTATGCATTAGGATATGAACTAATGTTAGTAAGAAAGACATTCTTTGCAACAAGCAAAATATTGAAAAGAAGGACATTAAAACACTATTAATAAGAAGGAAAATATCTACTTCTAAAAGCAAAAAAATCTTGTGATATTAATAAATTTTAAAATATTTTAAACATATTAATAGCTTACAATATATATGTTTATAAGGCACATAATGTATTAATATTTGCAGCTAATATTTATATTGTATCAGGCAGTGTTCTATGTACTTTACTTGTACTAATTCTCAAAGCGAGCAAAGCAAGCAGTATCATTATCTCATTTTATAGAAAAGGAAGCTGAGAAATGGCTTTGCCCAAGATCGTACACAGCTGCTACAGGATGGAACTGAATTTGAACACAATGTGTTTCCTTCCCAGTATTCGCCTTTCCCTTTCCCATTCACCCTCTCCTCCCGTAGTATTTCTTACTTTCTGGAATGAAAAACAAATGTAACAATGATAAGGAATGAAACCAAAAGAAAGTATTTTGACACTGAAGAGGAAGAGCTTTTTTTTCTTAAATCAAATATGCTTCATTTCTCAACGTGAATAAGCAGATAGCCATAGAGATTTAATGTTAAAAGCATTTCAATTTGCTTTTTAATGTAATTTTGTGTATTTTTATTGAAGAATAATTGATATACAAAAGTTTTAATTTTAAAAAATCAGATCACCCGGAGACCAGGGTGATATAGACAAACTCCTTTACCATTTTTCTTCCCCAGCAGGTAAATTTCTTGTAGCTTTCCAAGTGACTTGGCTATTGAAATTTGAGTTTCAGTTCTATACTTTACATGAGCTATCTTATCTCCAACTTAGATATAATGACTTAAGTCTGAGGAAGGGCACAATGGCCAAAAGGGAACACGAATTTGGGGAAAGAAGAATGGCAAAATATTGATTTAAAAATCTTAAAACTGTATTCCTTGGGGCAGAGGCTGAGTAGATTTCCTCTTAATTTGAAACAAACGCTAAAGTCCTTGAGTCATTACCCAAGAAAGCAGAGAAGTGAGTCCTCACTCTTTCCCGGACCCAGCTGGACTGCAGGCTGGCCAAGGAATGTGGACATGTGAATACCTCTCCTTTATGTTCTCTAGAGAACCATGAATATAAATACTGTCAAATGCATACAGATAAGGTCTGTACCTGACTAATGTTCCAAACTAATGTTTATTGTTTGTGAATATATGTTTATATGTGTGTTTTTAACAAAAAACAAAATGTTGAAAACTGAATTCATTCTTCATAGCATTTTTATACTTTACTATATCTAGAATTGATTCACTCTGGAAAAAAATCTATGGATAAGGAAGAGTTTGAATTCAAAATAAAAACTACAAACTTCTCATTTGTTTTTCTCACATAGCACTCTGCCATGGTTCTAGGTTAAAAGCTGTATAATATTTTGATGTTGTTGACATAAGGTTCCTTTGAAAGCTTTCTTAGGTTGTTTTATAATGTTAGACAATTTTCTAATTGGGAGGGAATTCCAAAACTATCATTTTAAGACTGTAGAAACAAAGGCATAGACAGATATTTTAATGGCCCTGCTCAAAGCCTTAGAGACAGCCAGGAAATCTGGGAATAGAATCCAGTATGTTGCTTCCCCACTTCCCTGCTGATTTGTTTCATTATAGAGATCTTCCTATTTCAAAAGAAATCTCAAAACTTTTTCACTCATTTTGCACTTTACAATTTGAAACTTTCATATACATAACTGTCATGCTTGAGAGCAACGCTACACAGTCCAAATGTCTTATATATTTTCTACTTCTCTAATTTCCTAGATAAAAATACCAACTCCTAATTCCCTTAAATATGTACTTGTAGAAAACTATGAGTATCATTTCCTAACAGTATCCCAGAGTCATAAAATCTTTAATTTCAATGAAAGAGTTTCCAGTTGTTCTTCCTCACTTTAGAGCAGAAGCATCATGATTTTAATATCAGGATGAAATGTGAGCTTCCACATGTAATACTCACAGTAACAAGAAACAAGCTGCATTTTGCAAGCCAGCTCATGTGGAAGTTCTTTTAGATGAGTTTAAAGTTAGAATCCTCAAAGATGGCTCACACTCAGAAGCGGTTTATTGTCATCTGAATGCAATTGTTTCTACAATTCAACGAACTGCACATTGTTTGGCTACAGAATAGCTAACTTCTATTTTACTATTAAATCAACATATGTTTAAATCACTTTCTAGTTTTTATTGACGAGGCTAGCCAAGCAATGAAAATACCTTCAATGCTAAAGAAAAAAATGTTTCGGGATTCTTTAAACTTACTATTTCATGGACTAAAACAATTTGCAACTTCAAATACTGGCAGTTTAATAAATCAGGTGAAGGATACTATCAGATAAGACTCACCTAATTTGTCTCCTGTCTCTCAGGGGTCACTTTGTTTCATATATTTTGACTGTATTTTTCTTGCTGTTGCTTCAGCGGAGACAGTAAATATGGTCCCTATTAATCCTAGATTGGAGGCAAAATGTTTGAACTGACAAGAAAGCATTCATGAAAAGTTTTCAAAGAGGGAAGACCCTGTGTTGAGGTAACTGTAGATGACATACACAGTGATATAACCATTGTGGAAGAGCATGTAAACTAATGAATCAAATTTAACTGATTTACTCGTTAAGCCCAGGTGCAAGGCAATTAATTTGATCTATTCTAGAAAAGAGGTGGAAATTGACCATTTTACTTAGCAGTCACCTTAGGGTGATCTTTCCTGCAGGAAAAAAGAAGCCCCTCAAAAGTTCATTTATTGCTCCATCATAGGACCTAGGCTAATGGTGCAGCCTCCATCTGGGATAGATCTAGTCTGATGGCAGAGGTCAATCAGAACATGCTGAAACTTCAAAATGTTTAATAGCTTCTACTCAGATATGACATATTCACCTTTACCCATATTTTATTAACAAAAACTAGTCACATGCCTATCCTTGTCTGGATATTGGGCCCTGCACAGAGGAGCCCTATATATAAAGCTTCTGAATATTAAAAACATTAGTAAAATCTACCATCCTCAAAAAATTAAACTAGTGGTCCTTAACCTCTTTTGAATTCTTATTGTTTTCCCAGAAAAATGCAAGTATGTAACAAAAGGAATATTTTTCATATAGTATCCTAGGCCTTGTGAAACCCCTATAGTCAACCCAAGGACCAGAAGACATAGACTCTAGGTTAATAACCCCTGATTATATGGCTTTGATGTTCCATAGCTTTGGTGCCAGGAAAAATCAAAGTATTGTAAATGTTACAGAATTGAAAGGTGATATTTTGGGGAAAAAAACAGAATATACTTTAGTTCTGGTGATTATAAACAGAATTTTTATATTTTAGCAGAATTTTAATTTATATTTACCTGTCTGCAAATATATCAAAAGATCCCATAGAATAAACATAAATGAATGTATTCATATTTCTAATACATGAGAATTGAAGTCATTTAATCTACCATGACTTATGCTCACTCCATTTGAGAAGTATCAGTTAAGCCATCTTAACAAAAATGTCCTTTAGACTGAAGCAAGTCTGCTAAACTTCATTTGAACTTTCAACTCAGTCATTTAATTGGGCCTGTGAGAATAACAAAACACCTGCTGTTAGAGTATTACTTCTGTTTCTCTTAAGAAATCGTGCCAGATTTGTTATCCTGTGAGACTACACATGCTCCTTGAAAAGTCAAACAAGACCATAGTAATATTGAAATAAGAAATAAAAGAGGTATTGTTTTATTTCTGTTTTGAAGAATGGAAAAGAAAATAAATCAAGAACGCCAAATATCAAAAAAACGCCAAAGACTAAATCACTCCTATTTAGGGCACAATTTTACCCATCTCATTGTGTATGTGAGATCTGTACTTTTGTTTTTTATACTAGTATCATTCTGACATCTATGAAAATAGGTGAGAAAATACGGCTTTAGGAAAAGAATATTATTTTCGTGTTTGTAATTTTGAGTTAGATTCAGATAGTTTGGAAATTATTATTTTGTATTTAGAAACAATAAAATATACCACGTAAATTTTCTTAGCGTTTTTTTAGAACACATCAGGAAGCAAAGAAATAAGACACAACAACACTGAGAGTAACGGACTCCATATTCAAAATATAAACATTCTAGGAACGTGTATGTACAAAGGGACTGTCTTCAAAAGCCTGGGCAGAGTGTCGGGGAACTGCGGGACCACCACAGCACTTAGAGATAGGAGCACTAAGTCTCCACTAAGAGGAAACTCAACAGAGAGAGGTGAGAGCAGTTAATATAACCGAGAATCAGGGTCTCATAAATCCACCTAGAGAAGAGCCATGACTCTTGGTGGGAAGACACCATCGGCCCAAGACAACTCCCCAGGGAGGAAGGAATCAGCACCTTGCTCTCCCGCCTCCTTCTGATCTGCTGGGCTCCCCCACTGGCAAAACCCAGTTTGATGAAACCAGAAACTGAGGCAACCATTGGATGCTGGGAGTGTCAATATGCAAGTACAGAATGGGATGATTTTGAGAAAATAGTATTTTAAGTGGATTATACTCCAGATGTATCTTTTAATTGCAAAATAGCATTAAACCTTGCTTCATCGTTATTTTCCTCTGCTCCTTCCACACAGAAGAGGGAGAGGCAGCAGAGAGAATGAAGCTCCTCAGAGACTTCTAATCTCAACGGTCTATAAATTCCTTGCAGCCGGATGCCACACTTATAAATCTTTTTATCCTAAGAACCTAGCATATATTTAGCACACAGTAAATATTCATTAAATTAATTGAATGAGTAAGTGAATGAATCATGTTTAAGTGGGAAGGAATTGATATAAATAATTCCCAACAGTAAAAATGGAAATCTGTATAACACAGATTGCTAATCCTAAATGTAACTCTTCCTGTGGTTTCTCGTAAATCTATGTGAAATCCAAATACTGTAATTCTGTAATGCCCTGGCCTAGGTTTCAAAATTATTCCTTTAGGTAATCTTATACAATTCTATGCATATCTAATTACGTTTTCAATTTATTTTATGGTAAGATGGCTCTTGAAATATAGCGTCACTAATTCCCCCAGTTTTCTTTGGGTGTTACGGTGTAACATACTAATCTCTAAATGAAAACAGGATGATTTGTTGGAATGAACCAGTACTCACTTAGGCCACCCCGGAGAAATAAATCTCAACACTCCCAGGAGAGCAGGGGAACCTTGTTCTTTTAGCATCACCTGACCCATCCAGAGAGCAATCATCTTTAAGTAACGTAAGTGAAAATCAAGTCCCTTGAGGCCTAAAATGTGTGGCTAAATCCATTTCCAAGTCAGTTTTTCCCCTTGTCTGAAGCCATGACCCCCTATGTCATTCACACTCAGAAAGCCTATATCCTCAGGCTAATTAGGAAGTCATTCTTCTCTGTCCTTCCCTTGTCCTTCTTTCTTTTCTTCTTCCACACCAGGAGATGTCAATAAAGTATTCCCCAGGCACATAATTACGTAGAGAAGGAAGGAGGGCCACAGGAGTGTGCACATGTGTGTATCATGTGCCAAGTTCTTCATGGACTTAATGGAACCTGAGGGGTTTTTTGTTCAGTTTATACATTCTACCTTGAACACAGACAGGTATGACACATATGTAATAGAAGGTACAGGAAGAGACTGAAGAAAGAGGAGAAGGGATGAAGGAGGGTAGGAGAAAAAAGAGAGAGAGAAAGATTTTTTCTTCTACTTAGCTGTTCATAATTCTTGAAGCAGATTCTTAACATCAAAGTAACAAAGAAAAATGCAGAAAAATGTGTAAGAGAAACAATATGTGGCACCCCAAATATTCCAGAAGCTTAAAAAGACCATGATCACAGTTTGGTAGGCTCTATAAACTAGAAGGAAAAGAAGCTTTTATAACACAGGAGATCTGACTGACTTGAGTGAACCTTAAGATAAAGACAAAGGGACTTAGGGAAAAAAATGTGAACTCCACATAAAAATGGTCAACGGGCTTTGGAGCCAGAATATGTAGGTTTCAGTGTGGCTATGACTCTGAATGTGTCTTTTGACAAAGAAAAAAAGAATTCTGATCAGTTGTACAATTAAATGTCCATAACGTGAACTAAAAACAATGGCTAAGGAAAAGCTTCTCTGAAACTTAGAGAATTTCTTCTGTGGTTACTCAATAAGTAAGAATTATTGGATGCAGAAAAATAACAGTAAACAGGAAGTAAATTGAATTGGTTAAGGATCCCTCTAACTCAGAGTGTTCCAAGGACTCTGAAGTCTAGCTGAGGAATTTCTTTAAATCAAAACATTCATGTTTGGAAGGCTACTTTCAACAATCAAACCATGTGTAGTTAATAGTCCTATAAAGCAATTCAGTAGTTTATTATCAAAGGGTACATTCTGACAACTAGTTTATCTTAGTGGTGACAATAGAAAATTATGTTTGTAAAGTTAGACATGCTTTGGATGACTGAGGTTTTAATGATGGGAATTTAGTGACAATATATAAACCTTAAAAAAATGTTTTCAAATATACACATATCCCAGAATTTGCCACATGCTAAGATGGAAAAGTATAGTGGAAAAGTGAGCAAAACACAACATGAGAATGTCAAAATCGGAAAAGACTATATAACCAGGTCCTGCGAAGTCATAAGAAGCTGTATTTTACTCTCAGAGCAAGACGAGCAATTAAATCTTAAGCAGAGGAATATATGGTCTGATTCACAGGTTTATTGACACATCTGCTAGACTATGCATTTCATAAGGACAATAACAGGAACCTTGTCTTTTTTTTAAATCCCCAATCTTGTAACATAGTGCCTGTGGGTAAAATTGTAACATTTCCAGAACATCTCGCCTGGCTTTAGTAAATTTGCATATCCTCAGGGGTGGAGAGAAGTTCATCTCCATGTCAATGGGTAATTACCTGGGCAACCGAGGGCGTGTCTGAACCTGAGAGGTTAAGGGGAGGGGCTCGCTTGCTTGCTGGCTTCTTCCAGAGCAGAGGAGAAAGACGGCCCTGGACTGCAGTTTATAAGCAATAAATGGGTTTTAAACTTTATTTCTCCCTCTAACTGCTTTCGGTTTTTAGATGTATTTTGCCCTAGGATTTCCTCTGCCTGGACTTACAGTGCCTTACATTAGATATATGGTGCTCATCAAACTAACCAAAATGCCCTTCTGGTTGATTAATAGTACTTATGGGGCAAGGCAGCACCCCTTGGTGGTCCCTCCAGGTATTGTTCACACCCTTGTGTAATACTCTCCCTTTGCTTGTAACTGTGTTTCAAGCCAACAAAACATTGCAAATGTGATGGAATTTCCATGATTAAGATAGTTTAAGATTATAATTTCCATCTTCTAACGGACTCTCTATGTTGCCTCCTTGGTTTGTACACTTTGGTGAAACCAGATCCACATGGCAAGTTAGAACTAACAACCAGCTAATCAAAGAGATCTTAAATCCAGCAGTTCTTGAAAAAATGAATTCTGTCAGTTTTTCCCCTTGGAAGTAAATCTTCCAAGTCTTCCAAGCCAGTCAAGCCTTCAGATGAAACCCCAGCCGTGGCTGACATCTGTATGGCAGAGATGTCAGGACACCCTGAGACAGGAGCTGGTAAAGCTCAGCCCAGACTCTTAACCCACAGGAACTGCACAATACTGAGTGCATGTTGTTTTATGTGACCACTTTTGCAGCAATTTACATAGCAATAAATACCATTATAAGGAGGGGGTAATCAAGTCACACTAATTTATTCTTCTCTGAGAATTAATTTTACATACAGGTATAGGTATTTGGTTTAAGAGACCAGGCAACCCTAGCCACACTATTAATTAATCCACAGGCAGTCTTCTGACCTGAACTGGGCCATTCAGAATCTGCCTCCCAAGAATACAATATTTGGAAAAGAGAGAATGGGGTGGAGGTAAGCCACTAGTGTCACTCTACAAAAAAGGTTGAGGAACTCCTAATGCTAAGGGTATAATTCAAAAAAATCACACTTCTGCCCATGACAGTGGCAAAGCAGGTAGATCTCAAAACAACTCCTACAGATTTAGACCCCCCCAAAAAAATAGAATTTATCTATACAACCTTGAAAATCATAATTCTGGTGTGAGATAATAATTGCCAGAAATATATAGTCCCATAACTATAGCCCTTCATTTTATATTAAGGGAAGAATTGAATTAAAATTGCGGGTAATGATTTTTTGGTCAACAATATTCATTATGGACAATGAACTTCTGGAATTTATAATTTTGAGAGCATAATATGAAAAATTCAGAAGTACTTTTTTTCTTTCAGGAGATGTAAAATAAGATGTGATAAAAATGAGTTTCTCTATTTGTAAAATAAATAGATTAGAATGTATTCCTAACCTAAGTTTTAAGTCATAACTTTTTATGACCCTACAAAAAACTCACTGTGGGAGAACAGGAGAAATCTTTATCTATATCACTGCCATTCCTTCCTCCTCCAGAAGAGGGCAGCACAAGGAACAGGATGGAAGAGGTTTTTCAGTTCTTGAATATCATAAATAAAGCAAATTAAAAGATGGGTCAAAGAAAAATCCACATAATAGACTTAGAAAAATACTGATTAGCAATTTTTACAATAGACAGGTATGGAAAAAAGCATGTTTGGGGGTGGAGACAGTGGTGATCATGTGGCATGCCTACCCTCAGCAGTATTACCTATAGCTAACCAGCTGTGTGATTCTCTCCAAGCCCATTTTTTAACCTCATTATTTGTAAAACAAAAGCAATTTTTACAATAGACAGGTATGGAAAAAAGCATGTTTGGGGGTGGAGACAGTGGTGATCATGTGGCATGCCTACCCTCAGCAGTATTACCTATAGTTAACCAGCTGTGTGATTCTCTCCAAGCCCATTTTTTAACCTCATTATTTGTAAAACAACAGGGTTGGACTCTATTATGTCTAGGATTGTTTCCGTTTTATAATTTTAAATCTGTGCAAATTATACTCATGCACTCTAGGAATAAACACATAAGGTTGTTGATAACATGAAAACATTGTAAATATTTAACTCAAACTTGATGCTTTTTGTAAAGAAATTGAGTGGAAAAAATATAACTCAGGATTGTCATAAAATCTGATTCAAAAGCCTGTTAGGAGTTCTGTTTATTGGGTAACATTACAATTCCACTCCACATATGGATTTACTAAAACAGAATGTCAAAGTGTTTCCAGAAGAAATCATTGTTTATTGTTTTCACACCAGTAGCTAGAATGATTCCATAAAGAAGTCTCATGGCATTTACAATATGAAACATTGAGTGGTTTAGAGATCTGCCTAAAAAGAGTTTACCTCTCCCTCAACTATTAAGGATTACTTACCACATGCAACAATTTGGAAGGCACAATTAACAACAGATGATTTAAAAAATGCAAATCCATCAAGATTTTATGTCCAACCTTAAAAAGAAGAAAAATGATGTTATCAAGATATGAAAGGAAAGATACGTTGTAGTGGTCATGGTAAGACATATTAATATGGAATATTTCAGGTCGAACCTGAATCTTTGGTATCTTATTAATCTGTGTGATCCCAAACCTAAAATTATGACTCCAATTTAAGTCCCAACCTACTGAAATCTTACTAGTCAACTGGGATGGGGGTGGGAGGGACTCTATTATTTTGATTTTCTTTCTGGGTCTCTTGTAGCTGAAAGAGTAGAGTAGGTGGAAATAACCACATTTTTCTATCTAAAAGCTGTCTTATTCAAAAATATTCAGAGAAAAATTTAAAAATCAGAAGAGAGAATCTGTGCCAAATGCACAAACTAATTTGCAAAACATCTAGAATTCTGCTTAAGCAAACCTTTGCTTTTACAGAAGAATGGCCAGTAATCAGTAGTAGTTAGTTGGGGAGAATAATTTAGACACACTGTTGTCAATGTAACCTTTTCTTAATTTGGGGAAGATTTTCCCAAGTTCTAACACATACAAAAATAATAATGATAATTTTCCTCCTCTTCATTCTTTGTTATGAGAAGATAAGTGATAACATGCAACTGAAAAGTGAATTTAAAACCAAGCCAAACCAGAGAAAGACTTGTACAGCAGACAACTAGATTTCCTCATAGAGAAAACTGGTAAATAATGGCATGAGTTCCGATAAAGAGGATTATGAAAGCTCTTAACTTTCCTTTTTAAGTCTTAAGTACATTGTTACTCACATAAAGTCCTTCTGCACACTAAGGGTCAGATACAGTTTATCTCTGGAGTTATTCTGACTCTTAAGATGCAGAATTTTACTTCTGAAATAAGATTAAATGTGATATAATATTTGAGATTTGTGAGCAGGAAAGAAAACTGTACTTTGGTATTTATGTCTCATTAAATCATTTTTTGTACACAGTTCTCATTAAGTCCTTTTGGAAAAAAACTGTTAGTTTTCATCAAAAGCCATTTCTTTGCTTGTTTCCTAGCAAGAAAATTGGAGCTGGGCACATATCTGGCTGGAAAGACATTTCCCACCCACCCTTGCAGCCTGGTCTGGCACAGACATCAGTTCTTTCTACTGCCAAGTGACTAGGGGTGATGTGAGTCACTTCCTGGTTTCGGTCTTACTTTAACCTTGGACGTTTATGATTTTTTCTCCCTTTCTGTGAGCTGAGACATGCACATCTGTGTTCTTACCAGGCAGATGATAACAGTGCCCTGTGGGAGGAGGGAGTAATAAGGAGGGAAGAAATGTGAGTCCCTGCATGACAGTGTGGAGCAGAGATATCCCAAGAACCTGCATTGTTTCTCTAAGGATTCTCATGTGAGAGAGGAATAAATTCATGTTTTTCTTTAAGCCAAGTTATTTGAGAAGCTCTTTGTTGCAGCAGCTTATGTTTGCACTTAAAGATTTTCATTTAAGTATTTTTATATTTATTATGCAATATCATTTATTATGCAATATGTATATATTATATATGTACACAAGCACATATACCTCATAAACATAGTGACTATGCCTGTACCCTTCACTCATAATAAATAAAACATTACCATCATGCTTGTGCTTCCTATTACTCCATACCAATCACAATTCTTCCCCCAACCTCCACAGTAAATATCAGGTGATCTTGAATTTAATGTATTTCTTATTCTTAGACATGTTTTTCAGTTTTACTAAATATGTATGTTTCATGGTTACTTAAATAATATGTAACTTTATATGCCTGTTTTATAATATAAATGTGGTGTTGTTATCAGCTGGGAATCTTAGTTGCAAATGCAAAAGAATCTTTGTTTAGTTTAAACAGAAAAAGACTTTATTATAGGATGTAAAGCAGTTCCTAGACTCTCCAGGATCCTCAGAAAGGCAGAGTCTTAAACTATGTAATCCAACCATATCACAGAAGCTTCCTTAATGAAAACACCACTGTTTCTAATCTGCATTTGTGATGCTGTGGAATGCAGACAGAATATTCTTATGTTTCTATGCCATCTGGGCTTTCTGAATAAATTCTGTTGAAAACCTGGAATCCTGGAATAAGATGGTAAGAGAATTCCAGAGAGACTTACCTAGCTCTGAAGGTATGTATTTACATTTCAAAAGAAAATGAGGTCCAGCACCTTGGAGACATCTGTAGGTCATAAAAGCCAGAGAGATACACAGGGTTTATGTGGTCCCTGACAAGATGCGTATACATTCCATGAGGTCAGAGTGAGACCCAGGATCCTTTCCATCTCACTTGTACACAGCAAAGGTTTTTCTCCCTCCTTTTAGAAGAAGAAAGGGAACTCAGCTGTTCTGTGTAGAAGGAGAGAATCTATTTTTCTCTGTCCCTCACTAACGGAGTGTCCAGCTACATATGTAAGGGATGTTTCCATTTGGTTTTCATCATATCACCCTAGGGGTAAAAACTCAGGTGAGGGAGAATAATATCCTTATTACTTATAAACTAACAAATATAAAATCTATCTCTGATATAGAACACCTCATGTATACAGTCAGAATTAAATTAACAGAGATGAATATTAAATCTCAACAAGTTCCTGGGACTAGATACTAGAAATTTCAGCACTACGTCCTCTCAGAACACTATACACAACCACTCTACAAACCAAATGCCTTGGGCAGGTTATTGCAAAACAGGTCCTGAGGCAGAGGTTTCTGTAGCGTTAACCAGGAATACTCTCAGAAACAACCTGTAAGAAAGTAAGAGAAGTGACATAAGGTACAGGGAGATGTGGAGCTGTAATCAAAAGTAACATAGGCCTCAGGCAATCCCATAGGGAGCTCTGGACATTTGGAGTTGTCCCAGATTTAGACCAAGAGGTTAGTCATTGCATACAAGCTGTCCTGGGGAGGGACCAGAGGTATGTTCCTCTGGTTGCCTTCCAAGGCCAGGCAGTGCCTGGAGATAGACTCAGCTGAGAGCTTTCAGTAGCAACATCCGGGCAACTTCCACATGAGGGTTTTAGTCTCAACAAGATCTGTGCAGTGCACAATGCACCTGCCACCAGATCACTTCCTCCAAGCTGACATCAGTTGGCTGCCAGGCCTCCCTGGTATGCAGCTGGCCTGGGCAGGGATGGGGGTGGCTGGGATGGTGATGTCAGAGTTGAGTGCTGCCTGGAAACCTAGGCACTTAGCAGGGGCAGCAGCCTGATCAGCTTCTATGAGGAGACATATATGTTGAGCCATAAAATCACCATATTAGCAAACAGTCACATCAGACTGATGGTAAAAGAAGACACAGAGATGACACAGAAATATAAAATAAAGTTGACTTACCTAAGGTTTACCTATCTTACTATGAAAAGAAGTTAGTGCAATCAGAGTATTGCAAATCAGAATGTTGCAATCAGAATATTTGAAGGATCAGCAGCGTATCCTTCATTTGCATGCGATTTGCATGCGAGTTTCCATGTTCTCTTAAAAAGGGGAACAATTGTAGTTTGAAAACCTTATGGAAAGTTATGTTGAACTTTCTGGAAGTTCAAATGCTCCTCTTCTAGCCTAATGTCATATATCTTCATATATCTAATGTCATATAAACCCAAGAAAGATCTTCACACTGGCTAATCTGGCTATGAGCCTGGTAGACATCATCAATCTAGGTGCCATACAAAATATGATAATGGAATATAGTTCAATCAGAGGGTTCATTATCAAGGGTTCATTTATCACCTTTGGCCTCCCTAGTTTAAGTGCTCTCCTGAAATGAGAGCTAAGAAAATGCAGGAGTGAGTGTATTTTGGAGTCATCCTAACAGATTCTATTCCAGTCAACCCTGAAAGTGTACTGCTGTCCCTGCAGGGTAAAAGCCAACTCTTTAAAATCCAATCATTGACATGGGTGGGGGGGATGTATTTTCCAGATTAATAGTGCCATATGAGACACCAGAGGCTGTGTCCATTTGCTCTAGTAAAAAGACTACATCTTCAGTGGGGTTTCCACTTTACTAAGCTTACATTCATAACCCTTATTCTCTAAGGCCCAGGTACAACAGCTGAGGTAAATGAGCCTATACTAAGGATAATCATGCCTGCCTCTTTCCAGTTTTTCACAGTGGAAGTAATCTCTAAGATTCCTTGGGAATACAGTATTTCTTTGGCTTATATTTTGGTAGGGAATTAGTATTCCACTATCTACCATTTCTTCTTCCATGAGTCTTCATACCATTTTGGAAATCAGCTGAGTATGTGTAATCCAATAATATACTTAGGAAACAGGATGAATAATGGGAAAGCCAGGTTTTCACATCTGATAGGCCCACTGTGACATGGTCTTGAGCCAAAATTCTACACATCACCTGACCTCAACTTCCCTTAAGCCCATTAAGACTGGTGAACCACACAGATGTTCTGGGTCCCAGTATCAGGTTTTTCTCTGTGATACAAACAAATTACCATATATTTAGAGGTTTAAAACAATGCCTATTTACTATCTCACAAATCAGTAGGTTAGGATTGTGACAGGGGCCTCAGCAGGCTAAAATTAAGATGTTGCTCTTAGCCTCAATCCTGCTGTGGGCAGAAGTTAGTTCCATGTATTTGCTGGACTGAGGTCCCCATTTCTTTTTTGGCTTTCATCCAGGGGTTATTCTCAGCTTCTAGAGGCCACTTCATTCTCTGGCTCATGACCACCTTCCTCTTCAAAGCCAGCAATGGCTGATGAACTCCTTATGCTTTGAATCTGTCTACCCATTCTGATGCATCTCTCTTCTGTCTTCCCCCATGATGGTACTGTAGTGTATTTTCTAAAGGATATTTTCTCCTTATTCATTCAAAATGCTCTAGGTTTGTGAACTATGGATTGGGAAACCGATAAGATGTCAAGCTTCCATTATGTGGCCAAAAAAGAATGAGACTATTGGAAAGTGGCATAATATAAACTTGGCTACAACAAATCTCTAATCCTAATGAAGCTTTCAAATATCATCATCCTTTAATAAAGTAATATCTCAAGTAATGTTTATAATTTGTAATTTAATTATATACTTTAATTGTCTAAAATGGGGTTGTATAGTATCAAATAAGACTATATGTAAGTTATTTTACATTTTGATACATGTACGTGTGATACCCTATGAGGTGTGTATGTGATAATATATGAACAATCTGTAGCTATGACCATGGACACAGAAAACACATTTAATGTCATCCATTTAAAAAATGCTCATGTATTATTGTACTTCAAGTAAAAAAAAAAATAGTATGGCTAACATAAAAAATAGTATGGCTAACATAAAAATTATTTGTATGTTAACAAACCAAATACTTTGTTGGTTAACTGGATGTTCATTATGTAGACTATAGATTTGGTAGTATGTAATAGATTTCTAAGTGAAGCTGGGAATTTATTTCTCTGTCTTCGCATAGTTCAGCCATGAATAATTAAGGTCTGCTATGAAAAATCTGAGTCTGCCGTCTCTAGTATATTGCCCCTATCTGCTTGGTTGAAGAGGACTTGCTACTATATCCACATTCCAAGAACCAGGATAGAGAAAGGGAACAAGAGCGCTCAGGTTCTCTCCCTTGATTAGGGAACCTATAAATAGCCCGCATCACTTCTGACCACATTCTATGGGGCAAAACTTAGTCACATGGCCACACAGAGCTGCAAGATGACTGTGGAATAGAGTTGACACCAAATTGCCTTTATTCAGCACTTACCCAGTTATTGTACTAAGACCTTGATGTAAAGTGTTGTTTTTCATTTAATCTTCACAAGTAACATTAGGCCTACATTACAATGGACTTCTCTGAAGTCATGGATTTGGAAAACTAGGATCAAAAGTCAAGTTTCCTGATTCCTATTTCTTTGCTCTTTTTAGCCTATTGTGCACTACCAATAGTATGATGACTTAAGAGCCAAGGGCAGAAGGGGCACATATGTGTAATATGACATAGTCTAAAGCACCAGGAAAGCCAAAATGCAGTTACGCCTTTTTCAACAAGCGCTTTAGGCAGAACACCATTTTAGATGTCTTTGGACCCTTCCTTTGAGAAGAATAAAAAATGGGAAGCCCTTCAATGGGAAGCTATCTATAAATCTGTAAAAGCCCTCTATAAATGATGCCCAGTCTGAAGATTTTTTCAATGAACTTCCATATATGAGAATGAGCATTGCTAAATCTCATGACCAGATGTGGATATGATGATGCCAACTGCATTTGTGCCTTTTCCTTCTCTGCCTGGACTTCCTCCACAGCACGAGTCCCTGTAGGACAACAGGTACATCAGCAAGCTCCCTGCAGAGAACATTTACCCCTGTGACTTCCTTCCTCAGCACACAACAGGCTTCCCCTGAAGCAGCTCTATTTTGGTGGCTGGTTTGTGAGACATTTAACAACAACAATAACAAAGTATGTCATAATATAGAAAGAACTATGGTACAGAAAGACATGTCATTTATAGGAGGCATGCTGTAGGTCAGTAACTGAAATGGGCAGAGATTGACAGTTTCTAAAAATGATAATGGATTTTAAATTTCTAACAACAACCTGAGCATCCACAGTTTGCTAAGCTTGTATCTTTTATGAGGACAGAAAATTTAGCCCAACAAGGGTCAAAAACTCACCCAGAAAAACTTGGTAGAAAAGAAACAGAAAACTCAAGGCTCTGAGTAGGAAAGTTAATGTTGGAAATATATTCAAAAGCAAACCATCGTGGTAACAGAGCTGTTATCACCTTAGATGCCTTTACGTATAGAAATGATTCCATACTTCCAAGTGCCTCTATTCTCCCCTTTTAAAAAGGGAAAAAAGGAATGCCAAGGGCTATACAAGCTGGACTAAATTATTTTCCCACGAAGGCATTGTCACTTATCTCCTTGCACTTTGGTGGCCGCTAATTCTCATGGCAGAGGGGAACATAACTAGAAACAAAAACAAAATTTCTCCCACTGTAGCTAGTCATCACTCATTTCATGCAAACAATTCCCACTTTCACAGCCCCTTACCCTCAAGTAACAGTTATCAAAAGTGGTGAATGGGGTTAAAAATTCATCCAGAGACACAAAGGGGCTTGATCTGATTACAAGAGCCATTTAGAATGAAATGGAAGAGGGAACATTTCATGGCCCTGGCTCCTCGGAATTTCTTGTGTGAGAGGCAGAAATACACTGCAGAGATTTTGCGGTTTCTAACACAAGGTCTAAAGTGCTTTTAAGAAAAAAAAAAAGACAGTGGATGATTTTGTCATGAGCAGAGCGTTCTGGAAATTTTTAGATCTACAAATGGCTACTCAAATTCTTAGTGCACTGTGATTTTACATTTCATATTAAAATGTAAATTCAGAATTTCAAGGACTGACATGATCTTCCCCCCATCCTTGCAGGCCAAAGGCTCATCAGTGGAGAGCCGCAGCTGTGGGCAAATGGCGAAGCGGCAGAAGATGAGAATTTGTGACCTAATCAACATGTCTCTTGTCCCTGTGCCTCCTCTCTTCGGAGGAAATAGGAGACCCTTTATGCCGACAATGACTAGATGAACCATTTTGTCACGAAGAACCATCTCCTGTCCTAGATGAACACAGAAGGAAAG